AGTGATGGCCGGAGAAAAAGGCAATGAGATTAGACAAAACGCCGCCGCGTGGAAGGTGTTGGCCGCAAAGGCATTTGAGGAAGGTGGAAGCTTCGACGGAGTTGTTGATGAGTTTCTCGCCAAAATGGTTCGTCGCTTCTAACACTATATATATAATATGATTTATGATTATATTTGAATGGTGTTTGTTTTTATTTTGAAAAACATATTTGTCCTTTTATTTCACATCTATATTGATTTGATTTTATAAATTATTTGATATTATTTATTAATTCTAATTTTAATTTTCAAATTATTTTCTTAAAAGAAAATAATATATAAATGATAGACATTTTTATTGGATCATGTTTTTATATTATCAAATGAGATGGAAAAAATTGGAGGGTTTTTTTTTTGGGTTATGAATTTTTCCTTTTTACATTTATAATTAACGAAACAAATTTGGTCCTGAAGGGTACTCGGGAGATAACATGAGTTGGGTTTTATTTATTTTTTTTAATATTTATTATTCTTTATTAACACTTAATATCTTGTTAAGAATAATACTTAACTTCTTTATCAATAAGGACGTATATGATCCTGACCTCTCATTATTTAAAAAAAAAAATTGTCTATTTTTTGTTTTAATGGTGATAAAGTTCATCGTATATATTATTGTTGCCAAAGAGAAACTAAATATTTTTCTCAAATTAATATCTTATCAAATATCTCATGTTCTCTAGCTCGGTTTTAAATATTTTTTTTTCCTTTTTCTCTCTCCTACAAAATTTGCTCCTCTTGTTCACTTAGTCTAAATATTTTTTATTTTTTTACTTTCAATTTTTGTTATTTAGCCTATATATTTTTAAAAATAACCATTTTAGTTATTGTATGCAAAATTTTAATACAAATTCTATAAATAGCATAAACTTTAAATGTAAAGTTACAGCTATATATTTTATAAATTTATTGAGTGTAATGTAAGTGTCGAAAATATGATTAAGAAATGAGAGGAAAAAATAAATAATCGGGACTTTTACTTTTTAAAAGTATAGATTCTCGGAAGTAAAGAAGTTAAAATGGACCAAATCTAAAATAAATATTTTAAAATTACATTGACCAAATGTCAAAATTGAAAACAGAGGAATCAAAATAATATTTAAAACCTTCATATTCTTATATTTTATCACTTCTAATATATGATTTCATGCACTCTCATTTATTTATTTTAGTATTAAATCTTTTAATAATTTAAAGTTCAACCATAGCAGGTATTGGAGGTCCACCGTTCAAGCCTATGCAAGTAAGTGGAAAATCAATATAACTTTTAAGGTATGCTGAATAAAATATAACTTTTGACAAAACTTTCAATTTTACGAGTACATCCTTAGTCTATTAGATATCTTTCAAAACTCAAAAAATCTATTAGGCACATAAATGAAAAGTTAGAAACTTATTCGAATTTTTTGCCTAATAGACTATTATGGGTGCCTATGATAACGATTTTGTTTCTTGTTTCTCGTTTTCAAATTTTATTAAGAAATTTAAGTATTTTGAAACTAACTATGTTTTTTGTTCTTCATTTTTTTGAAACGTTCTCAAAATTGTATAGAAATTTTGTAAACAATAAAAACAAGTTTCTTATTTCTTCTTTCCGCTTCCAATTTGTTACAAAACATAAATATAAATATTGTTTGATCATTCTTAAATTCATGGATATTTGAAGTGATGTCATTCTATTTTTCTTTATTAAAAATGAAGAAACGGACAAAAAAAAAACCGAAAACGTTACCAAACAGATTCTAAATTTTTTAGAATTTATTATATGTTTAACAACTTATTAGACACGTAAATGAGTATTTAACAACTTACTAGAGACTTTTTAAATTTTAAGAATATGTTTAATACTTCTAATTTAATTTTTATGTTTGTGCATATTATATATTGAAAGAAAAAAAAAGACATTCATAACTAAAATATTTGACATCTTTGTAAATGTAACAACTTTTGAGTTTTATAAATATGATTGAATATTTGAAATTTCATTTTCTTATTTTTGTTATTTAGAATCTGTCCTTCTGAATTTTCAAATATATCAATAGTATATCAAATTAGATATATATGAAGTATATCATTGATATATTGGGTATATAACTATTTGGGCTCCGTATTTATTAAGGTATATTGGAATTTTGATTTTTTATACATGGGTTGGGCTTCTAGGTGTTGCTATTTTTACAAAATTAAAAATGGTTGCTACTTGTTCAAATTTCTATTCATTTTGTCACTACTTTTGCGAGCGGGAAAGAATAACCTAAAAATGTTTTTCGATGTTTGTTCCGTTGATCAAAATGATACAAGAATCACATTTCATATTTGTAATCTTTTTTAGTACAATGTGCGAGAGTAGAAATTTGAACTCACAACCTTTTATTTGTAAATAAGTACCTTGACTATTTAGGTTGGACATTTCATATTCGTAGTCATCAAGTGTTATATGACAATGTGAATTATATATTTTAACAAGATAAGATTTTAAAGAAGTCCAAATATATTGTTTTTTTCCTCCAATAAAATGTTTAGATTATCAATGGTGGTCCGTTTGAAACCAAAAAAAAAAAAGTTCTCAAATTCCCTATTAATACTAAGGATAAAATTTAGGTGATTTATCGATAAGTGATATCTTCTACTTCAAAAAAAAAATGACAACTAAAAAATATGAATACATAAAAGACGAGAGAGAAATTTAAAAAGACTCTAACATATCCCTAAATTTTTTTTCCTAAGTACAACATCTGGGTGGGAGATTGAACTCACAGCCCTGATATATGTCAATTACCGCTGAACTATACACGCTTTGGCATTATAAATTTACCAAGGTGAATTCTAAAAGTGGTCTAATAGATTCTCTTAAACATTTAATTTTGTATCTACCCCTCTTTGAACCTTCAATTTCTTTCTTTCTTTCATTCATTCTTCTTTTTTTTTTTTTAGAGAACTTCACCACCAATGGTTACAATGAAAGAGTGCATTTTATCATCCATATGATAATTTGATAAAGTCAAGAGGGGACATCCACGAGAGAGTGTTTTGTGATATAAATTGGGTAGTTATTGTGTCGAAACATGAGGATTCTTGTTAAAAAAACCATGAAAAATAGGAGAAATCATTTAATTAAGCTCCTAGGTTATTAGAATTCTCAAATTCCTCATTTTGAATGAATTATGTTTGATTAGTACTAATGTTTTGTGTAGGAATTGGAGAATTTGTTGAGGACAATCCAAGTGCTTCCAAGGCGGTGAAAGTGTTGTTGGAGCGTGGCTGGAAGATGCATTTATGATGGAGCCTAAAGCCGCTTGGATGCCCTAGCACATGTGACCGCGCAGTAATTCTCTACACTTGTTTTTCACCGCATCTGTACAACTTCTAGAGGGTGCCCTAAATTTTAAGGATCCGATATATAAGGAAAATATACCCTAGCCGCAAATAGAGGAACATTACAGAGATCCATTTTGGAAATATCGATTCCATATAACATTCCCATCTTGTCACCATCTTTTTCATCGAAGAGGGAGCTGAGGAGAGTGGTTGCTTTCTCGTGGGTCACATTTTGCTATTAAGGAAGCTTCCAACTCTCTGTTGTCTGCTTCAACGATGGAGATTGCTTACTTCATTTCCATTTCTTTTCTACTTTCTGTTATGAACTAACCCCCACCTTCAAGGGGGATGAGCTCACTGTAGCTTTGGTGTTTGCTATGCTTAGTAACCTTAAATACTGATCTAATAGAAGTGTGTTTATTATTTCATCTCATTGAATTCATTTGGTTAACCTATTTAGTGTGCTTACTTGCTTGAGGATCGGGAGAGTCCTTGTTCAATTTGATTGCTTCTATTAGCTATAGATTCCTCTCTTTGAAGTCGGATGGTGAGTACTCAGGGATGAGGCTCGCCCTACTGTACCTATAGATTGATTTTATTGCTTGTTTTAATTACAACGGGAGTTGGATTAAAGCATATTTGGATATTTGAAAAGATTTATGGAGCTTGAAAATATCCTCCAATTAGGTAGCGGCCTCATTTGTAAACAATTTGGGAACAATACAAACGACTCTTCCATCAACAAATTTATGCATCGCAAACTGAAGATTCAATAAAAGGTAATTTGCTCCCTTTCTCTACTGTCAAATCTACCAAATTGCATTATGATAAGATTCAATAAAGGTAATAACCCAATCGCTTTTGCCAAACCCGGTGGTGACTTCAATTTTGCGTTTAATACGTAAATGACCTAATCGATATTTTTTAATATTCGACAACTTAACTTATCGGACACAAGAATGAAAATTTAGTATCCAATTAGACAAAAAGGAAATTTATGTCTAACAAATCTATTAGTTTCGGAAATATCAAACACGTCATACATCTCTTAGACATAAAATTGAAAAAGTTCAATAATCTATCATACACTGTATAGATGTAATATATAGTTTTAAATACACAAATTTTGAAAGACTTGTTAAACACAATTTATGTTAGAAATCTAGAATATTGCCAAATAGCTTTAAAGACACTATTAATCTCCAAAAAGGTAGGAGACTCGAATTTATGAACAAAAATAATGTAGAAATTTAGGGTCTAGATTATGTTGGTCAGATCCACTAAATAAAATGGATTTAGTAAATACGTCTTTGGTAGGATTAGAATTTGAAAATTTTTAAAATACACCACTACATCAAAAACGATCCAAACTTGGATAAATATATTACTTCATATTATAAATTTATTTTATATTTGTTAAAATTAAAACGTGTACAATATAATATAATGTATTCTAAATTATATAAGGTTGTAAATAATAATTAAACAAAATTTATAAAAAAAATATTAATAAACTAAATAATATTATTTTAGATTAAACTAAATATTAGGCTGATATATTATTAAACAATAATTTTTTAAATTGATGGAACAATGCAACTCGATTTCTTGTTACCAACGAAACCGACTCTTCAAGTTTTTCCAATAAATACAGGTGAGCACAGACTCACAAAGAGAAACAAAACAAAACCAACCACTGAGAGAAAAAAGCTTGTGGGTCCATTTCCATGGCGGACGGAGGAGACAGTAATGGCCGGAGACTTCACATCCTGGTTGTGACCTACCCAGCTCAGGGCCACATAAACCCCTTATTACAATTCTCCAAACGCCTCCACCACAAGGGCGCCGCCGTCACCTTCGTCCTCTCCAAATTCCTCTTCAACAACAACACCGCCGCCGCCGCCCACCCGCCGCCGTTCCCCGTCGAGACCATCTCCGACGGCCACGACCACGGCGGCTTCCTCTCCGCCGACTCCATCGAGACCTATCACGAGCTCTTCGAGCAAGCCGGGTCCCGGACTCTCCGGGATCTGATCCGGCGCTTGGCCGCCGCCGGCCGTCGCGTCCACGCCATCGCCTACGACGGGTTTATACCGTGGGTTCTGGACGTCGCGAAGGAGTTCGGGCTGAAGACGGCGCTGTATTTTACCCAATCTTGCGCCGTCAACAACATCTACTACCACGTGTACAGGGGAGAAATTAAGGTGCCGCCGCCGGCCGGAGAGGAGATTCGGATCGCCGGAATGCCGCCGTTGACGGTGGCGGACATGCCGTCGTTCGTCCAGGATCGGAATCCGTATCCGGGTTTCTTCGATGTGGTGATTAATCAATTTAGGAACATCGAGGAAGCAGATTGGGTGGTCTGCAACAGTTTCTACGAATTGGAACAACAGGTTTGTGCTCCATGTGACTCCCATCTACAAATTTCATTAAGAGAACTCAAATTTTTGTTCTAACATTGAAAATTTTAAGGGGGTCGGATTTTTTCTGACCAAATTTAGTGATTTGATCTCCATTTTGTTTGGGTTGTCCTGAAATTAATTAAAAGATTCAGTTTTGTTGAGTCGGCAAGGGGATTGCAAATAAAGTTTGGAATAGAGCAACGTGTTAAGAACGACGTGAGTATCTTCGCATTGTAGTGCTTTACTTTTGGTTTCACCCGAAAGAAATAGGAATGAAGATAATTATCTTCATTGATACTAGACTTTTGATGACGTGAGGACTATTGCTTAAAACGAATAATATTACATCTAGATACTTGGAGTCGAGTATACCGTTGTCTTTAACAAGTTTGCTACTTATGCTTTGAGCTCAATTTTAATTTAGTCCATGGTGTGCATATTAGCATAGTGGTTTAGTTAAACTTTATAAATTTTTGTTGAATTGGGCAGGAAATTGGTCGGTTTCTTTGTTCTTGGCTCTGTTGTCTCTACGAATTCTTCTTTGTAAGAGACATCCCTAGGTGGTTTAGTGATGTCTCCGGCAACCTTGCTGGGATCTTCAGATCGAATAATTTGTTTACAAGACGTTCTTAGGGGTATTGTTTTCTCGAATTCCAGTTAGAAAGCCGTATGATAGGTGGTAACTATCTTGTACGGTTCGGGAGTACGTATGATTAGAATTTTGAATTGCTCTGTTCTTCATTTTGGGTTTAGGTGTTGGAATGGATGGGGAAGAAATGGGCAATGAAGATGATCGGACCGAACATACCATCGATGTACACGGACCGGAGAATAGATGGGGACGGGGAGTACGGTTTCAGCCTTTTCAATCCGAAGGGCGAGGTATGCCGGAAATGGCTGGACGGCCGGCGGAAAGCGTCGGTGGTTTTTGTGTCGTTTGGGAGCTTTGCGGCACTGAGTGTGGAGGAGATGGAGGAATTGGCTTGGGGTTTGAAACAAACCAACTATTACTTCTTGTGGGTGGTAAGTTTTACGCTAACCTTGAACCCATTTATTCACTTCCAAATGAAACCATAATAATCATAAACTTAAATAACAAATTTCATCTTTTTAACTTTGATCGAATGATCGTGAATTCAAATCCCTCGCCCACTCCATGTACTCAAATAAGACCATTTTAAAAAGTGTATTTAAATCTTTTATTTTATATCTAATAATTATATAAATTTTAAAAGGTATTTAATAAGTCATTTAATTCTTGAACTTTAAATTTAGTGTTAGATTAGGAATCTATTAATTAAACACATAATTTAATTTATTAAACCCTTAAGGTTAATAACTTATTACTCAAAAGCATTCTTAAGTTTTAATTCTCGCTTCTTAATTAAAAAAAATTATTACTCAAATAAATTAGGAGATCAAACTTGTAATTTTGCTTTTTTTTTTTAAAAAAAAAGAAAATAATAGTGAATATATTAGGTTAAAAAAATACATTTAGGCCCTTATCGAAGTTACAATTCAGTTTACTTTATAATGACGTTGTTGCTATACTTCACATTGGTAATAATGTAACCTTTGACTTAAAAAAATCATCAAAATCAAATGTTAGATTCTTGTTATATAACAATTTAATATTTGTAATTTATAGTTTATCCTTATCATAGTTTATCAATATATGCCTATAAAAAATCCAGTAAAATCTTAATAATATTTTTCACTAGAGATTAAATCGTTACAAATTTTAAATTATAAGAATGAAATTATTAATGTTAAAACTTAGAAACCAAATTTATTTAGGTAAGGGCAAAGGAGGAGGAGAAGCTTCCGACGAAATTTGCAGAGGAGACGGCGGAGAAAGGGCTGCTGGTTTCGTGGTGCCCACAATTGGAGATTTTATCGCACGAATCTATCGGATGTTTTGTGACGCACTGCGGTTGGAATTCGACGCTCGAGGCTCTAACCATCGGCGTTCCTATGGTGGCAATGCCGCAGTGGACAGATCAAACAACCAACGCCAAGTGCATCATGGACATTTGGAAAACTGGAATCAGAGCTCCAGCCGACAACAGCGGGATCGTCCGGCGGGCGGCGGTGGCAGAGTGCATCGGAGAGATCATGGAAGGCGACGGAGGGAAGGAGATCAGGAGAAACGCCGCCAAATGGGGAGCATTGGCCAGGCAGGCGGTGGGTCGCGGCGGAAGTTCCGATATGAACGTTGATCAGATTCTGGCCGATTTGGCTTCCGCTTTTAATTAAACAAATATATGTTATATAATTGCTTTTTGCACTGTCTTTTCTTTTGACAAATATTTATATGGCATTTTATAATATACTCTTTTGAGTACTTAAAAAGTATATAGAATTCACGAAAATAGACATCTTGAAAATAAAAAATCAAAATAAATAAGCTTATAAAGAGACAGCGTCCCTCCACAGCCCACTTCAATATAAACTCATTTCAGAGAAACAGAGGCGATGACAATGGTGGTCTTCTTCCTAGATAATGAGCAGCAATCAACATGCTCAGGCAATCTTTCCTTGAAGAAACTCACCTGTTACCTGTTCATTCCAACCCGAGATGCTTTACGGGCTCCGGGTCTGGCTCGATATAATTCTGTGTTCTTCTTCACAGAGATGCATTGAGAGCATTTGTTATGGATGGAGAAGAATCAACATCAACTTTTGATTGGGTTGGTTCTCTATCCAACTACTTTCTTAATGAGCACAGAGGTTTTTGAACACAGATCCAGTTAGCAAAAGGATCGGCACCAGCTTTCAGTTCGGAACAATTTGATTTGGCTTTCTTTAGTTTAGGGGAAAGCACATATGAAACAAAACATGAGGTTCTCCAGACTACCGAAGAGTTGCAGAAGCCAATGTACAAACCATCTACGACAATACATGAATCCAGAATTAGCTCGTCTTAAAAGTGCAGATGTTCGAACGAATAATCAAGTAACTCTCTTCAACGTTTCACCTATTTCGAGCAGTGGTGCGCAAGAAAATTCACAGACTTTGGTCCTCCTTTCATGTGACTATGAAAGCGAAAACTACTTAATGACAGAAAAATCATTTGAGATCCAAAGGTCCTACTCGAGATCGAATCCCGAATGGTTAACACATGCAGAGACCTGGGTTTTCCATCAACCTAATCCTGCAACATGAACAAATTCTATGGAATAGGCCAGAGGACAATCCTTAAAACCTACTCTCTACCAACAATGTGCAGCCCATTTAATAGAATTTTGAATGTCTTCTCATTCATCAGTTTATCCCTCTTCTTCAACTCATCGAGCAAATCAAATGCTTCACCATCCTGTCCTTCCCGACACAATCCTTCTAACAGAGTTCGGTAAGTAAGCAAATCAGGTGACATGGAATTACTCAACATGTCAAAACAAACCTCAACAGCTTCCTTGAATCTGCGCTCCATTGCTAAACTACAAATCAAAATCATACAAGTACTGCTACTAGGAAACAAGCCTTTAACTCTCATTTCCTTGTAAAAATCCAACCCTTGTGCAACCCTTCCTTTCTCACACAACCCTTTTGCAATGTAGCCATAAGTATAAGTATTCGGTTCGCAACCATACAACCCCATTTCCCGAAAAACCCGTATCGCTTCATCAACTTCAAGACACTTAGAATAAGCTTTAATGATCATGTTCATCACAAACGTATCCGGAATCACGCCAGAGGCTTTCATTTGCTTGGTTAACGACCGAACCGCATGTAAATACACATAACAGACATTCAACTTATTGAATCTCCTAAGCAGTGAATTGAACAGCATCGCATAAGTTTCAAGATTAGGTTTGCAGTCATCAGATCTCCACATTTTCTTGTACACATCAAAAGCTCGATTAAAAAGAAATTTCCGGCCACAGCAAAACCTAATTACAGAATTATAAAGCGGCACACTCATTTCACAAGCACCAGCAAGTACCTCTTCGACTAGGGTTTCCGCGAGGTGGTACCTCCGGCAGGAGATTAGGGTTTTGATAATCGTTAGATAGGTTAGATCGTTGTGTTTGTAGCCACGCTGCTGCGCCGTCCATCGGAAGAGGTCGAGGGCGAGATCGGGGTCGGATTGGGCGCGCAGAGCCTCGTCGACGTCCGAATGGGAGAAGCCGGGCTTGAGCTTTTGGACCCAGCTTTCAAATTGCTTCTCGAGAGGAGTTTGAGACCGGATTCTTGGAATTGGGAGGTCCAAATTTTCAGTGGGCGATGACGGCGAGCAGAGAAAACGGCGGTGGAGAGTGATTAGAAGAACGGGATTCTGTATTGAGCGGTGGGGGGGAAAAGATTGAAATGGTGATGAAAGGTGATTGCATATGCGTGAAGATGAGAGGAGAGGGCGGCGGAGCAATTTCCCGAGCATCGTGTGGCGGCGGGCCTGCTTGAAGCTAACAAAGAAATGGAGGATGTACTGAGAGAAGGGGCAATGGGTCGTGGGCTTTGTGTTAATTGGATAGACAGCTGAAAAAAATAGGGAAATACGGGCTTTGATCCATTACAAGTAATGAACTTTTCGGGTTGTATTGGGTCGGGTCGAATAATTTAAAGTATCAAATTTTGATTAGTACCTTAAAAGTATTTAAATATTTCTCCGGTGTTTAGAAAATAGATTGAGTACCATGTCATTTGATCATCCTCGAGAGATCAAACATTATTCTTAAAAATAATTTTACATTTTTTGAATAAATTTTAATAAATATAATTAAAATATCGATTAATTTGGGTCAATGATAAACTTTTCAAATACTAAAGGTTCAATGTCAATTGAATTTTCTTATTTTTAAGTCAATATATGAATGAAAATTTAAAATTATATTCAATATCATATTTTCAAATTATGAAAAGTTATATTTAAAAAGCTTCAGAAACTAACAGTTTCTAAGGTTGATGTATCTTAAAAGTAAATATTTGATGAAATATAATTAAAACAAATGTAGGTATAAGTAAAATAGATATTTTTTAAAATCGAGATTGGTTGGATGCAACTCAAATTAATTTCAAGAGAGTTCACAAACAAATTTATCTCACAAAAATTTCAAAAATTTTCAAACCCAAACTCAACTTAAATGGTTTTTTCTTTTCTTATTTATTTTTATTTTTTATTTTTTGATATCCGTGAGTGAGTTTCATGCTACTCAAATTTTCTTGAATTTCATCACCTTACTTCTACTTCATACCTCGCACATTTTTTATTTGATACTTTCACTTTCTGACATACGAGAAAAAAGTATTTTTTGGGTACAAAATACAAGTTTTGAAATTTGGGCCAATTACCTAAACCCAAAATCTTTCTGGATCATTTTGGTAAAGTTTCCCAAAATATGTCACATTTTGGAAAGAAGATTCTTTTGAAAGTAGAATACTTTCCAGCATAAAGTTCAAAGAATCAATTTTTACTTCATAAAGTTCTTTAAACCTTTTAACTCCTTTTATATATATAACCTCAATAGTTAGTTCTCCGCTCTAAAATGCTTTCCAGCAATTTAGTACTTAAATTAGTTTGTAACGATTTAGTCTTTGTATTTTCACTAAAGTAATTATATAGTCCCTGAACTTTAGCTTGTAACGACTTAGTCTCTATAGTTTAAAATTTGTAACAATTTAGTCCCTATCGTAAAAAAAAATTATTAAAATTAAGTGTCAAATTTTATCATATAACAATTTAATCTTTATAATTTATAAACATATTTGGTCCCTCTTTATTTATCCATCCATCCGTATATATAAGAAACTCAACAAAAAAGTTTCACGATAAAGATTAAATTGTTACAAACTTTAAATTACAATGACTAAATTGTTACCTATTAAAATTCAAGAACTAAATTGTTACTAATTTGAAAGTATAGGGATTAAATCGTTACAAACTCAAGTTCAATAACTAAATTGTTATTTTAGCGAACTACAAGGACCAAAAGTATTTTTTCCTCAAAATATATCCATTTTCAAATTTGTTTTAAATACTTTTTAAATTTTTAAATATATATTTAAAATATTATCAATTTTAAATTAACCGTTAGAGTAAAACAGTTATTATTAAAAAAATTGTTTTTACTACATTACCATTAAAAATAATTAAAAGTTTTCGAAAGGTTAAGTGAAGCCTTAGCCTGGTGAATAAGACACCTATTACCATCGTAAAGTTGATAATGTCATTCATAAAAACAATGACGAAGAGAAGTTATATATATTTGTTTTTCTTTTGATTTAATAATTGTCTTAAAAAGATGAACCCTAACCTTAAAAAAGATATAAAAAAAAAAGAATTTTTAACCAAATTAATAAATTTGCTAATTTTAGTGAATTAATAATTTATAACAAACGTCATACTTGAGGGTGGTTGGGTATATTTGTACTTTTCTTTAGCGTGCATTGGATACTGTAAAAAACAGAATATCTATTTTTTTTATTATTCTTGTTTTAAAGGAGGGAATTTTTTTTACCTTTTCTATTTGTTTTTTAAATAATAATAATAAAAAATGGCATTAGAAACTTCGCAGCAACGCAGTTCCAAAACCTTAATTCCAGGCCACATGTCTCGCTCCCCGTAAAATAATAATAAATAAATCCAATAATTTAATAAATTAATAATAATTTTACTACAATATTTAAAAGAAAAAAAGTATTAGCCTTGAAACCGTCGAAACTCGAGAAAGGAAGTTGGAGACTTCGAGTCCGGGGATTGTATTAATGAAATTTTAGGAATAAAATACATTAATTTAATTAAAAGGGTAAAAAAGTAAAATAGGCAAAATATGTTTAATGCCCAAATTAGAGTTTAAATGATTAGAACCATTTTAAGGTTGGATAGGGTAAGTTGAGCTAGAGAAATGACCGAATTGGACCTAATTAGGCCGAATTGTTTTGCAATTTTAGATGACATTAAATACGAATGGGCAAATATGTCAAATTCATACGCTATTTAATTGAAAGAGATCGTTGAGGAGGGGTGTCTTGGACAAAGATATCAACTTTTCGCACTATTGAATTGGAAGAAAATGTGTTAGGACGAATGTTTGGATAAATAAAGCCAATAAGAGATGTAATCAAGAAAATACTTCGAGGAAAGTAATTTCACCGATAGATGTGAGAATATAGTACTTGCTAAGTTGAATCAGATCTATTGTCTTGAGAGACGCCTTATCTGACCATATATCTCTGATAGAAACACAACTCTATAAATTTAATGAAATCATTTACTAAAAGGCATATTTCAATCTCCAAAAGGAACGCGTCTCTTAAAAAGACGTTCACTTTACTTAAGTGGGCAACGATGATTCCTCCCATTCCACATTCTCCTCTCCTCTATCTTCCTCTCTGTCTATGACGTTTCTTCCATTTCTTCTTCATCTTCCATAGCACCTCGACTAGCTCTTCCTACGTTATTTTGACAACTCTCAAATCTTTGATTGTAGATCTCAATTCCACAATAATCTTTTTTATTTTGTATTGGATGACATCAAAATTTATTAACTAAATGAAATAATTTTAATTGGACGCAGTTAAGCCAAGCTCCTAGAAATTCTAGAGGGCCTCAACAAAGATATCAAATCTCGAATGCTATTAAATTAGATATTAATTTAGACAATGATGTCAACTTTGAACCTCATTGTATTAAAACAGAATAGATTGTTTAAAATGTGTGTTTGGGTAAATAAAATCGAGAGGCGAGAGGGGTGTAGTTAGGGAGATCATTCTCTCGAACAAAGTAACTTAGCCAATAAAAAACAAGAATCTAAAAATAAATAGTTGATATTGTGAATTGTTTAGTAATGTTTACTTAAGACAAAACAGCGTTGGATACTGAAGCAGCCGCGGGCGCCGAGGCGCTGTAGCTACAAAGGAAAGGTGAGAAAGGCAAGTCTGTGGTTGCAGAAAAGAAATTAAAGTGACAGACGGTCACCGTTCACTTTTCAACGGCTAAATTCTCTCTTGTCCCCAAATTGCCCTTTCCCTTCTCACTGCCCTACTTTTTAAAGGCCCCCTTCCTTTTTCAAAGTACTAAAATGCCCCAAATCTTTAAAAACAAAAATCTCAAATAGTCAAGATTTCCATGTCTGAAAATGGGGAAATAATTGTATTTACTTTGTAAGATTTGTTGCTATTAACTATAGGACAATACTTCAAAATAAAATATGGTTGATTATATTTGGTTTTTGAAAGTTGATTGGTTTGTTTTAATTTTATTCCTCATATTTGTTTATTAGTATAATACTTAGAGCGGAGATTCAAACTGCTTTTAAAGTTTCAATTTTACTATTGAGCTTTTAATTTATTTTATAGACAAAATTACAATCAAGGCGATGGAAGCAAAAAAGAAAAAGAGAAAAAAAATTACTATGCATTTATTTTTTTATTTTTTTAGTACAATAAATATTGGGATGGAAGATTGAACCTCCAACCTTTAGAAAAAGAGAAGGATGTCTTAATCACTGAATCAATGTCAGTTCGCGGTAATTAATTAAATAATACAATTATCTTTAATAATTCTACCAAACTATAGTTCGAGAAATTATTAAAAGGGTAACACAATGCAGTTGTCAAACCTACACTAATTAGATATAAAACCACGTTTCAATTTTTTTTCTCATATGTTACATCTAAATCAATAATAAAAACATGTTAAATAATTTCTTACATTTATGATGCTTTTGTTAAAAATAGAAAATAAAAATAAATAGAGAGTAAAATTGATTTGTATTATTATATTTGAGAGAGTCGATTTTAATCTTAATTTTTAATTTCATAAAATTTAATAATAAATTTAAATCACAAAAATACTCAAACTCAACTATTAAAGTTTTTAAAAACCTAAATACCTCGAGATATTCTCACTCAACCACACAAATGCTAAAAACTAATCATAAATCAACTAGAGTTAAAAACTTATAACTCACCAAGGTACTTGTTGATGCTCGATTCTGGTCAAGGTGACACCACCACAACAACAATCCTACATCTATTGGCAACACGCAAATAAAATCTTGCACGTGATCGCCTACGTACACTTGGTATCACCTCTCACGCGTATTACACTCTGAAACTTAAATTAGAATTAAGTCCAAGCTAATATTGAATTGGATTTAGATTGCTTATCTTTGACAAGATGAGACTCTGCCTTTTAATTTTGTACGAGAGATTGCCAGTACAACTGCCATACCTATCACGCGTATTACATGATGTTGCGCTTGAGAGTATTATTTATTTATTTATTATTATCATTTTTTTGACAGCCCATAAGAATATTAACTAAACCTAATACTCCAATTAATTAAATGACATAGAAAACCAAACAAAAAATAGAACTTTCTTCCACAAAAAAGCTAACACTGAAACAGCGTAAATAAATATCCAGTCTGCCAAATTTTTAACTTTGTGTGCTTTTACATCATCCCCCTTCAGGATAGATTCTTTGTGCACATGGGCCTCTTTCCTCTCTTTCTTTATTATTATTATTATTTAAATTAATTTATTTTATTTATTTATTTGCCCGAACGAACGACAAATGAAATTAAAATTTTCCATATTTTCTCCACCAACAACCTTTGACCCCCGCGTCACCCTCCTCCACTCTCTCTTTTTCCGCCATTGTTGCTCTGCTTCTGCAACAATGGCGACGCCCTTCACTTCTCTATTTTTCGCATTTTGGCTACTCTCAATATCAGCTTCAGTATCCATCTCCAGTAAGCTATTTTCGTTTCTCTGTTATAACCAATTTTTTTATTCTTTTTCTCTAAACCCTAACCTCTTAATCCATATTCGTTTCTTGCAGATGCAGAGATCTCGAGCCTCGTCGGCGTCAACTACGGCCAGCTCGGAAACAACCTCCCCTCGCCGCCCGATTCCGTCGATTTAATCAAAACCCTAAACGCCCAAATCGTCAAAATCTACGACGCCACCCCCGAGATTCTCAAATCCCTAAAAAACACCGACCTCCGAGTCTCTGTAATGCTCCCAAACGAGCTCATA